AGTATCCCAATGAGATGGGCTTGGGAGTCTAGTTGGGGACAGTTTTAAGTTTATATGCTCATAGGATAGCATCTGGAATAAGTTGTTTTAAATAACTAATTATGGGAAATTTTATGTGTTCACTATGAAAAGCTATGAAAAGGTATACAGCAAAATATTAATGATGGATCTCTCTAGGTGTTGGGCTTATCAGTGATTTTTCATTATATTTTAATGTTGTTTGTGTATATTTTTGAACTTGTCCATAATGAACCTTATTTCTTTTGCAATAAACAAATACAGGGCAAACTTAAGATGAAAGGTATTAAACTGGAAATAAAATTTAAAACTGAGGGCAAGAGAGTTGGTAAGTGGTTCCATTTACTTTGTATATTCTGCCATCTTTGCTACCTCCCCAGATGTGTGCTTGATGTGAACTGCTAATTACAGGCCAGCAGAAGAAGGGGTGATGGTTGCTGGTATTGAGCAAGACAGACTATTTGTCCACACAGAAAGGTTTCAACCTCATTGAATTTGGAATACTTCACAGAGAGGTTGTTTCCGTACAGTCTCTCTTGTCTTCAACTTTAGTTGAACAGCTCAGTCACTGTGGAGGGAACCTAAGAGATGCTGAAATTTCAAGATGTCTTGTAGGAGGGGTATGACTTGCCTAAAAGTATCAGGTTTAGTATTTCTAGAACCAACCATTGTGCCAGGGTTTATGTAGAAGATGTCAAAGTACCTCTACTTGATGGATTTCCTTTCTATCTCCCTTCTTTCCTTCCCTCTATTCTTCCTTTCCTCTCTGATTTATTTAGTCTTCTGATACCTTTGTAGCCATTACTAAATTAATTAACTCTTGTAGAGAGACTGATTGGTAGCTAAGAGTTACATTAATCATCATAGTGAGAAAAGCAGAGAAAACAGAGAGAGTTGCCCCCAGGTCACTGGATAGTCAGTTGGAATTCAGTTCTGCTTTTACCTAGTCTCATTGAGAAATCACCATCTTCATCATTTTTAATAATTAACTCTACCAAATTGTTACCACAGGTTATCCCACCTCCTTCATATCCAAATATAAATGATATCCTGGGCCCATTACTATAGGCAGCCACTATCAGTGAACCAAAGCTCTGTAACAGGCAGAGATTTTTAAATAACCAATGATTATTGACATTGAAAGCTTTGTTAGCAGTTTCTAAGGGGTTAAGTACAACAAGCTAAATGTTCAAGTGTTCCCAAAAAAGGGCTTAGGTATTTATCAGATTCATACATATGGTTAAATTATCCCCTCTTAAAAGTGATATTAAATTCTGGGGGACCAAAGTTTCTGTTTCCACAGTACATTATAAATGTGGGTTTAAGGTTGCAAATGAAAGTTTGCTGAAACTTCTCAGCATACTATGGGGCTTCCTCTGACATCCAAATGTGAATTTGATTCAGACTGAGGTTATTAAAAAGACACCATGTTGGTCAGGTTGGGGATGGAAGGGATTCTTAGCTGGGTCAAAGGTAGAGGCAATGTCCAGGGTCATATTTGAGAAGCATTTTAGAGGGTGACTTATGTTTCTGTTAACTTATTTTATTCTCTTGAAGAGTTCACGTACATCCATGGCTCCATTTATTACTTATAAACTGAAAAAGACACCCAGGTCATCATCACCTGTCATAACTCTTCTCTGTACCTCCTCTTTATTTCCCCAACTACCTGTTGCATATTCCCTCTTTGACATTCTCTGCGTCCTTGATAGTTCAAACAGCATTTTTCATCTCCTTTGACAAGCCTAAAACCTAGTCTGACTGGCCTTCATGTCCTTGACAGCAATATTCTCTCTCATAAGCTCGTGGTCATCACTGGCTCCCTTCCTCTTTTTCTTACACTCCACAGAAGTTTTATTTTATTAGTTCTTCCTTTACAGGCTCTCACTTTTACATCTTTCCGTGAACTCCCTTACTTAGACCCAAATCCCTTCTTACCTGCACTGTTGAGATAAGATAACCTTGTCACATGCATTTCCTGCTTGGAGCTCTCCCCTGCTCCAATATAATTCACAGCCCCAGAAAAGCCTGAGATCAACCCAGAATGATTGAATCCAGCTTGTTAGGTTAAATGTGGGGCCAACAACAGGCTCTAAAAAGTTTAAGTCAAAGTTTTTATGGGCATTCTCCCCCTACATGTTAAATGAAGGAGGAATTGGACTATTTCTTGGGTCTAAGAAAATAGCTATTGAGTGACCAATAACAGGAAGCATATTTTAGACCCATGTTAGAAGAGCCTTTCATGGATTCAAGCTGTAGTATGGTGGAACAGTACTCATAGTATATGAAAGTGGGTTCCCTGTCCTACATAATCACTTTTCAGCGATGATGTAGCAAGCTAACACACTTCAGACCACATGACCATAAGGGTCTTTTCAAGCTCCATAGTTTTCATACTTCCCCCATTCCAAATCCTACAGTGAATGAACATGCTCTTCTTCCCCAGACAGATGCTCCCCTGCTCACCCCATCCCATGGTGTTACAGTCTAGCTTACTGCCACCTTGGCTCTTAAGTAACATGGAGGCTAGATTTGCATATTGAGTTCCTTTTATGTGCTAGATTCTGTGCCCAGCATTTTGATTTCTGATTTGATGGATACAGTAGCCCTGTAAAAATACTATAGTTTCTTGTTAAAACAATTTTAAAGAAGGGGAAACACAATAATCATATAAGTAATAAGCTGGGATTGAACTAAGGTTTTCTAACTCCAAGTTCTGTGTACTTGAGAAAAGAAACAAAAGGAAGGAGGGGAAGAGCGAAGAGCCCCTCAACCCTGGACTGGACCATGGGTTGTGTGGGATAGGAGGGTGTACATTGAAAAAGTACATCTGGCATTTTTTTATCTCAGTAAGTATTTAATTGTATGTGTTGCCAGCAACATTTATAAACTTTGATGTTTAAAATAGATACTGGAGCTAACAAAGAGAAAAGAGGAAACTATAATATATTTGATTAAAACATAAAAGAACATTTATTACAGTGCATTTTTATCATATACCTAGTCATCATGTAAAATAGCAACATCTATTCATGTTCTTCAGTATGTGTTAGATTAAAATTGCATGAATTATTTTTAATTTTAACACTATGTTTTAATATGCCTGGCTTTCATGTCATATGCTGTGTAATCACAGCTTTTTTAAAAAATCAGGGATGGTAATAGTGAAGTACTTATAGGAGGTAATGGACATGCCTAGCACTCTGTGTTGCACATTATAAATGTTTATTGGACTTGAGGTGAAAGGTCATGTCATTGTTTTTATTTTATTCCCTAAAATAAGTAACCACAAAAATTTTCAAAAACATGTACCCGATGATACAATTCTACTTTTAGAATTCTATGCTCACATTAATTTAATCAGTCCCATATTGTTTATGACCCCATCTTTGTGAGCTGAAAATTAGAGAAATTAGAAGAAAAAAAACCCAAAAACCTAAGAGTTGTTGAGTTCCTACTGTGTGCAGACACTATAAGTTTATGTACTTAATTTTCAGTTAATACTGAGAAGTAGATGTGTTCCCTCTCTTTTAAGAATAAGAAAACTAAGGCTGATAGAGGCCAACTGTCTTGTGCAAGATCACTTAGATAGGAAATACCTGATTTGGAATCTGAACTCGGATATCTCTGGCTCCCAAACTCATACTCTTTCCAACATACCAATGTTGGATTCTGTGGAAATGTCTGAGGTAGTGAGGGGGGCTGAATGGGTGGAGTTCATCTCCCACCTTCACTTCAACCAGAGCACCTGCTTTATAATTAAAGAAAGAATTAACCATTCTACTACATCATACATTGGTATGGGAATTTATAATTAAAAAAGAATTTTCACATAGTTCAATAATATGTACTGATAGGTTGATGTCTCATTTAAAGTGAAATAGTCTATCATTAGCCATCAGCCAAGAAGACCTGAGTGGGTTGGAAAAGGCACCCAAGAGTCATAAGCATTGATTTAAATGGATTTAATTTGGAATTTTGCAAAGAGAGGTGTGGGGAGGTTTGAGATAATGAAAGTCACTTAGTCCTGGGCCAGTCTCAGCTTCGACTTTGAATAAGAATTCACAAAGAGCGTACTCACAAAGCTGGATGCAACTGTTGGAGTCAAATGTTCACAGTGTAGTATCAGCACAACTTGATGTTTCACTGAAGCTACCTGACAAAACCTGGACATACCCATGAGTTCCTTCTCACTATTTTAAGAGAGGGCTCCTGAACTTTAATCTATCTGACTCATTTATTTGTTTGTTTATTCATTCATTCACTATTCATTTACTTTGAAGATAGTAAGAGAAGGTTGACCACAAGAAATTTTGCCCAGGGAGGTGAACTGGAGATGAAACCTTGAAGACACTCATTACACTAAATCCCATTATTGTGGTTGGTGATTGTTTTCTTATTTATAAGTGTGGAAACCTATAAAAATGTTTGAGTATTCTTTCAAACCTCACATACTTTTATTACTTTAAGGTATGGGTAGGGGTGATATGGAGTGAGTGTTAAATTACATTTCCTAGTGGGGGGAATGTAACCTTTTCTCCATTACCCTTTGTCCATTTCTCCATTCTCCATTATTTTATGGATTCCTGTCTATTTCTATAGAGTAAGCAATGAAGTTTCTTGTGACAAAGGTTGAAAAAAATCACAATATTAGCCCACAAATGGAGATGAAAGGAGACTAGACTTTGGGTGGTAAACACACAATGCAATATACAGATGATATATTATAGAATTGTACACTCAAAGCCTATAAAATTGTATTAACCAATGACACCCCAATGAATTTAATACAGTCTAAAAAGAAGAAAAAGTAAAAAATGTATTATTTATTTGAAAAGTACCCAGGATCAAACTTTTTTAGGATATAAGAACCCAAGTGAACCCTGGACAGGTTCTTCAGGCAACAGACACCTCTGACTAGAGAAGTGTATGTAGTCTTCTGCTCAAGATTTTATCTGATTCTTATTTTATTTTTATTCCAGTTGCTACATTGATGGCCGAGTTGTCAAGGTGATGGACTTCCTGAAAACTCGCCTGTTAGATACACTCTCTGACCAGATTAGGAAAATTCAGAAAGTGAGTAAAAGTCCCCTGGGAAGAAGAGGAATCAGTTTGGGGATGAGGCAAGGAAAAGGTCAATGGGGCCCAGCTGAATGGCAGCACTGTGGGAACAGAGTAGAAAAACAGTTAGTCCGGGTTTGCATGGTCCAGAGCTCCCCCTCAGAGTTGACGAATGTTTATTGTGTTTCAAATGGAGAAGGGTTTGAATGTGATATACCAAGGTTCAATAACAAATATTTTGTAGTAGTTTGCTTCTAAATTGTGAGTTTCTTAAGGATAGGTTTACTTTATTTTCTTTTTTAAATGCAGGGGTTTATTTGGGTTTAGGTAAAGAAGAGGATGATTACATTTATTAAGTGAAATTTTGATCTGGGGAACTGGCAATTTTGAGCCATATTTACACTATTTCTAAATGTCTTAAAACCAGCCAAGTAACATCTTACTTTTGTAGAGATGTGAGGAAAGCCATATTATATTCAGTAATTGCATTTAGGTCCTATTAACAAGACACCTTTGGTCAATAGTTCTCAAACTTGAGTACAGTTAAATCACCAGAGCTTGCTCAGGAAGTTATTCTGACCTAGTATGTGTGGAGTGGATCCCAGACATCTCTATATTTAATAGTTTTCCGTTAAGTGATTTTACCCAATGCAGATCACATTTTGAAATAAACTGGATTAGTTAATTCTGAACCATGGAGATCTTATGTCTACAATTTCCATCTGTCTCTACAAAATGGTGATTTCACATCTTTTGTTGCCTAGTCGGGTCCTTTTCCAGGGAATGGGAACCTTTTGAACACTTAACTATCCATTGATCAGATTAAACAAATCTTTGCAGAATAATAGCAACAGATAGGCCCCCATTAATATGGGATGAATAAATAAGTGAATGTACAAGTGAATGAAATGGTTCGTGTATAAAATTAGCTGTGGAATAAAATCCCGTGTAGAACAATTATAGAAAAGTACTTTGATTCACTAAAGTGGAAGTCTGTACCCTTTTTTGCATTCATACTAATGTCATACGTAGAATTACAAATATCATTTTGAGTCTCCTTGTTATCAAAGACTGGGAAGCCTCAGGACTTCTGCACTTTTGCACCCAAGTCTGATCTGTCTCAGGATCAGGTACATTGGCCAGCACTTATCTGTCACTGCCTTCTACTAGGCAAAGCCTACGAGAAATAAATGACTTGAAATATCTCTGTCAGTGTTTGACATTCATTTAGTTTTTAATATTGAAATATTTAACATTTGCTGAGCACTTAGCAAGTACCAGGCAAAATACCAGGTGCTGGAATATAAAATGGAATAAGGCATGGTGTCTACCCTTGAGGAATTCACACTTCTAAGGTTTAATATTTACTTTAAGCAAGTTTAGAAACATATTACTTAATAGGTACAATTTCAACCTATTCTTTTTTTTTAAGGATTTCACCCCCCAGGGTAACCTTTCCTCCCCTAGCATATCACAGGTCATGTGGCTTAGACCCCCTCACCTTTCATATAGATAGTCATGACCTCCTCTGACCTTTGTTCCTCTGGCTTTTACTTGGATTTTTTCCATGGTGGGACGGTGGGAGATGGGATATTGGAAACCCAAGAAGAGAACCTGCATCACAATAAACTTTGCCACACCACAATCTCTGGTGCATAGATCCTTGGAATAATTTCCTTGTAATCCTGTGGAAGAGCCTAATTTCCAACAACAACATTTGTCTTAGCTCAAGTCAAAATATAAATGGAAAGCCCCACATGAATCTGACCCCTGGAGCTTTGAACATAACAACCCAGCTGATAGTACAATGTCAACCCTAATACGACAGTTTTCTAAGCATATTGTGCTTATGTGGAGGGGGGAAATTTTATCTTATTTATTTATTTATTTATTTATTTATTCTTCCATTCAATAGATATTTATTGAGTGCTTACTGTGTTCCAGGCACTATTCCAAGTGTTTGTATTACAGTAGTGTACAAGATAGATAACTCCCTGTATTTTTTACTTTTTGGTTTTGACCTGATCACAGTGGAAGTAAAATGATTCAGTGGTATCATGGTATTGACTGTGAAGGTTTTAGCTGTGCCCATGTAATTTTTAAAGTAGAACAAAAAGCTCTAAGTCAGAGCTATAAGACAAAGGTGTTGGGATTAGGTTCTTTCCTTTCTCCTCACAACCCATTACTCTCCACCACTGCATACTCCTTAACCATCATGGAATATTCAAAGACTGAAATTAATAAGCTAAGCTCACCTCCTGATTTGTGGAGGAAAGGCCAGAGAAACTTAAGGAAAAAGGCTCAAACTGCTCATTTGAGATTCAGACCTTTGAAAACATGTCTGATGGACTTGGATGGGGAGGGCAAAGTACAGTGTCAGAGAGAAATAGTGGAGCCTCTAAGACAGTGGTTCTCAACCTTCTGGCCCTTTAAATACAGTTCCCCATGTTGTGACCCCCAACCATAAAATTATTTTCGTTGCTACTTCATAACTGTAATTTTGCTACTGTTATGAATCGTAATGTAAATATCTGATATACAGGGTGGTCTTAGGCGACCCCTGTGAAAGGGTCATTCAACCCCCAAAGGGGTCGCAGCCCACAGGTTGAGAACCGCTGCTCTAAGAGAAATGACCTACATACAGAAGAGATGGCTTGTCTTTGCTGCATGATACCTGAAGCTTCCACTGGATGACTCAAAGGCTGGGATGTCTCAAAGGCTCTCAACAAGAAGCATCAGAAGGGCTTGTTGACTCCTGAGTGTGACAGTTAGTTGATGCCAGCTACTGACCAGCACCTTTGTGGGACTTATAACAGGAATACCTTCATATGAACTCTTGATGTAGCCTGGGCTTTCTCCCAAGGTTCTAAAGTCCAATAGATGCCCAAGAGAGAGCCAGGTGGAAATGGCATCACCTTTTCTAATCTACCCTGAGAAGTCACCAAGACTAATGGAAATTCAAGGGCAAAGGAAATAAACTCCTCTTGATGGGGGAGTGGCAAGATTCTGGAAGAGCATCTAGGACCAGAAATGTTTTTGCAGTTATTTTTTGAAAATACTGTCAGCCAAAGTTCCATCCTCCCTGTTTCATTTAGTAGCCTTCAGTCATTTCCCTCATTAGTTTTCTTCTTCCAACTCTCTCTTACAAAACTCCTGTAGATTTTGTCTTAAATGGGTATCTGCTGGGGGTGCGACTGGATTGCAGATTCTCTGAGACTTGACGCATAGGACAGACTCTTCACTGGCTCCAATGTTAGGGCCTTCAGGATGAGTCTCTCTCAGCACAGCCCAGGATGTGCTAGATACTGGCCTGCCCTGCCCTGCCCTGGGGAGATGAGAGCTGGGAGAAGATCAGAGAAGAGTCACCAAGCTTTGCCAGTTGAAATGTTGCTTTTCAGTTCCTGAATTCTCCCGTTGGGTAGGAAGGGTTATGGGAAGTTAGAGTTCAAAGTGAAGACTGGGGCAGAGTGGACAACTTCTTTCTTGTAAGCCCCAAAACCAGTTCAGAGATGAGCCAAGTAGGATTTTAATATGTATATACATGAAGCCCTCACCCAAAAGCTATAAATGATATCTTTGTGTGTTTTTTTCTGTACTTTGGGAACTTCAGAGAAGTCCTAATAACACCTCCCTCCATGCTGATATCCCCAGGCCCACAGTGATAGAAAAGGGCATATTTCTGACTAAAACACAAAGTGGAATTGGTTAGGTAGATCAGTGGTTTGAATAAGAGATAGGATACAGGATTTGAAGTCTGGTGGCTTGGGTTGGAGGTTAGGCTTAGTTGTGTGACTTCGGGATATTAACTTAATTTCTCTGATTCTGTTTCTTTAAGAGCACTATCTTCCTTCCCTCTCAGGAAGGTTAGGAAGGTCATGTGAAGTCCTGTTCTGTTAATTGCTATTGAAAGCTAGTTCTTAATGCTATTACTACTGTGGTTTTAGTTACTGCAGTTACTTTTAATAATTTATGTAACTGGAGAAGCTTCATGCTACCTTTATCCTCAGCTTGTTTTTTGTTTTGCTTTTTCCCCCTCTTTCCTCTTTCTTTGAACCCTGGAGAATATGATAGGTGATATTTTTGGCACCCGAAAGACAGTAACTCAATTGCTGAAAACAGCTGTGGTTTCCAAATTTAGACATCACTTATAAGAATTGTCAGTTTTCTGAGCAGTGGGTGAATTGTTGTGATATGAACATCTGTATGATGCTTTTGAAAGCTAAACAGAAACAGTGTTTGGACACCAACTTCTTTGGATGATCCCCACTCTCTCTCTCCCTTCCATTAGAATGAGGATAATCATCTATCTGTACTTTGGGAGATGAGTCAAGGGAAAAGGGTTGAGAATCTAACAATACAGGCAAGAGTCAGATGGGAAAGTGAGAGATGTTTAGGATATAGTACAGATGGTATAATGTAGATAACTGGGCTGACTCCAAAACAATGATATAAGAACCAAGAAGAACCACTTTGGCTAAAGTCATTTGGACTCAATGATTTGTGTCATCTCCTAGAGGAATCAGAGGAGGAAATAATACTTTTTGATATTATTTTCAGCAATTCAATAAGCACAGGAAGGAGTTGGTGAAATCCCAGTCATAAGGGAAGTATTTCCAAAAGTCTATCCATATGATTGCATTTAAAATACTAAATAAACTAAACAATTGGCTTCCCTAATAGTCCCTTCCTTCCTTCCTTCCTTCCTTCCTTCCTTCCTTCCTTCCTTCCTTCCTTCCTTCCTTCCTTCCTTCCTGCCTCCTTCTCTCCTTCCCTCCCTCCCTCCCTCTTTCCTCCCCTTTCTTCCTTCACTTATCAGTTGGTTATAATATTCTTAGTATTTTTCAGACCGCTGAGGATAAAATGGTAAATAAGACTGATGTGGTGGTTGTCTTCATAGACCTTATGGTCTAGTGGAAAAATAGTTAATGAAGCAAGCAACAATAATGTGTGATATGTCCTATATAGGGACATAACAGGTGCTATGGGTGCCCATAGAGGGAAATATCTACTTTCAA